CAGAATCCAACATCACGTGGGAGAAGAACCCGCCCACCAACATGGTCTCTACACAAAACCTTTTCACTAAGACCGCCCACCCCAAAAATCACAGGAAAGCAACACAAATTCTAAAACAACAGAAGGAAACAGACTGAGTTTTAGAATTAAACCTGTGATCGGCCGTCTAGTGCTTGGCTCTCCTGTCTCCACGGTCGAGGACCCCCGTAATCCCTATATCTGTGGAACCGGCGGTGCTCCCAGCTGAGCCAAAGACTGCTCTCACTGGCTGCATCACCGGTTGCACCATCTCTCTACAGTGGTAATAGACACAGGTAACTACCTACAGTTTGCCCTTCTTCGGGCAACTCGCCACCCTGTGATCCGTGCTCCCACACCTGAAGCACTTCCGGTCACCCGGACTCATCCTGGAAGTGTCATCCTACTTCCTCTTCTGTCCATGAGCAGGTTTGCCACCTCTGCTCGGAACCGACTGCGGCTGGGTATTCTTCGGCTGCACCGACGGACTATGAATCACCTTGTGACTCCTCAACTCGTCCTCGATCCCCGCCGCCACCTCAACCAGCTCCACACGCGATGCATAAGCCCGCACTTTGCACCGCACCCTCATGTCAGGGCTGAGACCCTTCATGAACCGATGCACCTGCATCTGCTCAAGATCTCCCGCACGCCCCGAGTACACCAAGATTCGGCTGAATTCCGAGTCGTACTCCCGCACCGACCGCTCGCCCTGAGTCAACGCCAAGAACTGCGACTCCATCCGGTCCAGTGCCTCCGCCGGGAAATACAGTGTATTGAACTCTGCCAAGAAATCTCCCATACCGCCAATCCCTGACCCATCCTGGCCAGCACACTTCGCCACCACAAATCTGAATCACCAGCCAAGTAGTGGGCCGCCAGGTTCACCTGATACACCTCCGAGCACCTCATCGATTGGAAATACCGCTTCAATCGCACTCGCCACTCATCCGCTACAGCCGGATCGGAGCCTCCGAAAAACAAGGACATCCCCAACCGCTGTAACTGCTCCAACATCCGCAGGTAGTACGGCTGCTCGATCACCGTACCTACCCCCTCAGGCTATACAACCTCAACAACAGGCTGCACACCATGCCCAACGGGCTGCACACTAGGCCCCACAGGAGCCTGCATCTCAGGCCAAACAGGAGCATGCACTGGCGGTACCGCACCCAATAACCGTTCTAAGAGCTGCGTCAGCAAATCCGCAAGCCGATGATTTTGACCCTGGGCTCCACCTGCTGGAACACCCCCAACCGGGTTTCCAACAACACTAGTACCGTTCCCGGACGAACCGACTCCTACGGCACTCACACTCTCACCACCCACGGTAAATAAATAATTATCTACAAACATTATCTCACATATACGTACAATTTTAAACTATCTTTGACAAATATAATATATAGTTTTTGGATAACCGATTGAAAAAAAAAATTGTAGTTATATTTAATTCTCAAAATCTCAAAATATTGAACAAAATTTAACTTAGGGACGTATAAATCTCTACTTTTGAAAGATTATGTGAAATTTTACATATATTAAAAATTATATTTAGTTACATGTAAATGATGTTTTTATTTAGAAAAATATAAACTTATAGGAATGGATACGAGACAGGAACATATAAAATTATATTTAGTTACATGCGTTCGCCGCTGCGGCAACTTGCAGCGACCAAACGAACAACAAAACCTGTGTTCGCCGCAGCGACCAAACGAATAGACTCATTATCTTCTTCTTCTCTGTTAGTCACGTTGCTAATGGATTCTTCTTGTTAAGTCACATGCTTAACACCTTCTCTTCTCATCTAGACTCTAATTTTTCGGTTTCCCATCTAATTTTTATTAATTCCTTGATATAAAAAGTTTAGTCCTTGTGATTCTCATTTTTTTACTTAACAGAGATCGATTAACGATCATAAACAGCTGTTAACTCTTCTGTTAGAGGATTTGATTTGACGACATGTTCAATCTGGCTCAGTCAACAGAAGATGGTGATTTAAAAACAACGTCAACGAGAAGTCTATGATTTTAATTGGTCACAGTGGAAGTTGAGGATTAAAATGGCCAAAATTTGTAAGTTCGGGATTTAAATAACATTTTTCTTTAGTTTTTTCCTTATTTCCCTTTCTCACATATGTAACGGTTCCAAAAAACAGATCTGAATGAAATAGTCGATCAATTCGGGTTCTCGAATTGAAGATTCATTGAGTTTTTGCTTTGACAGTTCTTTAATTTGAGAACTCTAAACCCATGAAACGACGTCATATTACTCAACTTTGATGTTCCGACATTGCCACGGTGTCGGTTGACTCATCGATTTTGATGATTCTTTTCATCTGTGTTATGGTTTTTATCACCTTATCCTTAAATTTAAACACTCTGTAAATACTGCAGGCAAGGTTTTTATTGGCTAAGCTGAATCCATCAGCGACTTACAACAATGCAAACGAGATGTCAGCTGGGTCAGACATAATCTTCACTAATGATGTGAGCATGCAAGTCTTTTTTGAGCATCTTTCGAAACTGGCCGTGCAATCCTGTGGAAAAAGTAGTCACAGTCCTATACCATTTTAGAGCTCTTTTTCATTTTGGTCTCTCATTAATACATCTTGGAAGGTACTCGCATGGTTGAAGTCTTTTGCATTGGATTTGTCTGGATTATAAAGATTTCCTGTTTGCATTTCTTATCTTGTCATCGGATGATATCTTGTATGATCAATTATATGGTTTTGGGTCAATGGCTTTATCAATAAAGCCACCAAATTGTTGAATAAACAACAAAGAAAAATATTTAGCTTTATCAATAAAGCCACCAAACTGTTGAAATATATCTAAATATTTGTAGAAAACCGCTCCGAATCCGGTTAGTTACTAACCGTACCGAACTAAATTTTTTGTAAATTATCAAATGGGATCTATAGGTCTTATACCGGTTTATCCGAAACCCAAATGGGTAGAACCGAAACCCGATTGGGTAACCGATTGTCCAGGACTAAGTATAAGTTTTATTTTTTCAAAAATACCACCAAAATACATTGTTTTTCAAAAATACCACAAAAGTAATTTTAAAACATCATCAATCTGATGCTAGAACACGAATTAAATTAAATCTTAATTTTATTATGTTGTTAAAAAATTATATTTAGTTACATGTAAATGATGTTTTTATATAGAAAAATATAAACTTATAGGAATGGATACGAGACAGGAACATATAATTCGAAAACAAATATTTGTATTTCGCTTCGCTTTGAAATGACGTCATATTACTCAACTTTGATGTTCCGACATTGCCACGGTGTCGGTTGACTCATCGATTTTGATGATTCTTTTCATCTGTGTTATGGTTTTTATAACCTTATTCTTAAATTTAAACACTCTGTAAATACTGCATGCAAGGTTTTTATTGGCTAAGCTGAATCCATAAGCGACTTACAACAATACAAAAGAGATGTCACGTCCAGGGATAGTACCTTTCGTACAAATGAAGGAGTACTCGGACTGGGTGGTGTGTGGATCGAATGACGACACGTGAGCTATGGAAATAACTCACGATACGGTCGGCTTAAAGATTAACGAAACCCGGTTCGAGAATCTTCAAAGATTTTCGATCTCTAACCTTTACGGCTCGAGAAAACGAAGAGAGACGCGAGAAAAGGAAACATTTTTGGTAGTTTATTCAAGCGTGTCTTTTACAATCGAGAGACTTGCCCTTAAATAGACAAGTGATCAAGAAAGTGGGCTTAAAGTTGCCCTATACACGTGGGTCTTTAAGCTCCACACAAAGGAAAAGCAAGAAATCGCGTTTTCTAACGGCTCTCTCGGTAAAAAGTAAAAGGATCGAGAAATTCTCGATAAAAAGGTAAAAGGATCGAGAAATTCTCGGTAAAAAGTGGAACGACCGAGAATTCTTCGAGAAAATAGAAACAGATCGATAAGGATCGATGGAGAAGGCTTTATTGAAGATGGATGCCTTCTTGGAGATAGGATCTTCACTTCCTCGGCTCCGGAGCTTGTCTACTAAAGTTTCCTAGTCGTGAGTCGAGTGGGATCGAAGTGGAGGTGCATTAGACTTGCTGCCTCGTTAAAACCCCTTCGGTAAACCCATTGGGACAAACCCGAAGTTGGGAAAAAGAGTCTTCGGGATGCCTTCACTCGGACGTGGAGGTGAAGGCACTCGAGCTAAGCTTTCCCAAAGCTTGTCTTGATCGAAGGTTCCTCGGTGGTGATGCGTTCCACGAACCTTCAGTGAGAATGGTTGAAGCTCGGCTTGTCGAAAGGTTGATCGTTGAAGAAGATCATGAGATGACCTCGCCTTGCTCGTCTTGATGATCCTTGTTGATGTCTTGAAGTGTTGATGTTGAATCGTTGTCGTCGGGATGATCGCTTGTTGAAGACTTTGCCGGAACGGTTGATAGATGCGGCCGGCCGGATGGTGCTCTCGGACGGACGGACGGCGGTTTTGGTGACTCGATGTCCGGGGACGCATCAAATACGCATGAAATTTTAGAAGTAACAATCAAAGTAAAATCATACAATATTGACAAACTCAATAAAAATAAAATAAATATAACTTAAAATTAAAAAATTTTAACCCCACGATAAAGTGCAGGTTAAAAGAAGTTCAAAATAAAAAATAAAAAAAGTTTTTCAAAAGATATGTACAATAGAAATGAAGTCAGCCAAAAACTAAAAAAACACTAAAATAAAATATAAATATATAAAATCGAACCACACTTCTTAGGATTAAAAATAATAAATAAGAAAATAATACAAATATTAGGCGTGGCCAGGCCAAGAGAAAGAAGAACTGAAAGACCAGAGTTGGATAAAAGGCCGAACAAGTAGCGAAAGGCCCAAAGAAGCCCACAATTCTAAATAAATGATGACGTCAGTAGAGAGAGTGGAGAGAGTGATCTCCAAGTTTCTATATTTGCCTGATCATTTAAGTTTCTAGAGAGAGAGCTAAACCCCATTTTGAGTAAAGAAAACCCCATTGCCATTGCAGAGTACGGAAGCTTTTTTCGAGAGAGCAGATCTAGGGCAAGCGATGTCAAATATGGAGATGGAGAAGAGGGAGCTGACTTTGTACAACACGAGGACTCAACAGAAGGAAGTTGTAAAGCCCATCAACCCCGGCAAGATCCGGATGTATCTCTGTGGGATTTCTGCTTACGGTCTCAGCCATCTTGGCCACGCTCGTGCTGCCGTCTCCTTTGACGTCCTATACAGGTCTGGTCTTGAACAAGCTTCATAGTTCGATTTTGTGGTAGCACTGTTGCTGAACTTAAGTTCGTTAGGTCGCCTGAGTTAAAATTGGAGGTTTCTGTCTTTCTTTCTTTTCTTTTCTTGCATCAAATTGGAGGTTTCTGTCTAGTATACAACATTTGATACTGTGTTAGTGTATCGTTAGACTCTCTACTACCATTTGATAACACCGAACCAAGCTGGATAACTAGATCTGTGAGTGACTTTTCTTTTTGAGCTGGCTATTTATTTATCTGCTTCTTCTGTCGTTTATGCAGATACTTAAAGCATTTGGGTTATGAAGTTACTTATGTCCGGAATTTTACAGATGTTGATGACAAGGTATGGCATTTTCTTTGTCCTGTAACCTTTTCAATCTTATATATGAGAGTCCTACTTCTTTCTTTTCTGCCCTCTTTGGTTATGATTAGGTTCACAACATTCTCTTTTTGGCTTGTACAGGTAATCAACAGAGCTAAAGAGTGTGGGGAGAACCCCTTAGATCTCAGTAGTCGCTTTTGCGATGAGTATCTTGTTGATATGGGTGCTCTTCAGTGCCTCCTTCCCACCCACCAGCCTCGTGTCAGTGACCATATGGAGCACATAATCAAGATGATTGAAACGGTATGCATTGGGAAACCTCACATTTTTATTCTTTGCTCTTACTTGTTAGATCCGCTATATGGTGATGCTACTGTAGCTCTCACTAACCTCTATGCTTCCTTGTTGGTTACAGATCATTGCCAAAGATTGTGGGTATGAAGTGCGCGGTGACGTGTTCTTCTCTGTTGATAAGTCACCAAATTACGGTCAAGTGCTGGACCATACTCGAGCTGGTGAGCGTGTCGCTGCTGATCCAAGGAAGCGCAATCCTGCTGACTTTGCACTATGGAAGGTTTGTCTCAGAATCTAATCCTCTCTTTTTTTCCTCCTTTTGTTGAAGTACTTGTCTAGCTCTGACCCTTGAGCTGAGGCTTTTGAATTTTATGCTGATATTTGCATATCATACATGCAGGCTGCAAAACCCGATGAACCAAGTTGGGAGAGCCCCTGGGGTCCAGGAAGACCTGGATGGCACATCGAGTGCAGCGCAATGAGCTCCCTTTATCTGTCTCCGAGGTTTGACATCCATGGTGGTGGCTCAGATCTGAAATTCCCTCACCATGAGAATGAGATCGCCCAGACATGTGCTGCTTGTGATGATAGTGGTGTGACTTACTGGTTGCATAATGGGATTCTCACCAAAGACAACGTGAAGATGGGATCATCACTTGGCAACGTTGTTACCATTAGAGATGTATGTTTCTTACTTGTTCCATTGTCTTAAGCTGACCCTTCTTCCGGTTTTTTTTTTGTGTGTTTCTTATAGCTAATGCAGCATTGTTGAATGTGTGTAGATCATGGCGAAGTACCATCCGCTGGTTCTGAGACACTTCTTGATCAGTGCACACTACCGGTCTCCTCTGAGCTTTTCGGTATTGCAGCTAGAGAGATCGTCGGATACTCTATTATCTATTTATCAGGTCTAGTACCCATCCTTTATTTATTTTTTCCTAGCTAGCATCTCTTGAGTTGTAATAGTGGCAATGTTTCTTACCATTTACTCTTTGTTTATTCAGACTTTACAAAGTCTAACCGAAGCACTCTCCCCACATCAAGAAGCAATCTCCAGAGATGGTACAGAGACAGATCAGACTGCAAAAGCCAAAGCCATCATAAAGAATGTGAAAAGTCACTTTGAAACTCAAATGTCAGACGACTTGAACACTGCCAAACTACTCTCAGGGTCTTTTCAAGATGCAATGGGATTCATCAGCACTTCAATCATCAAGCTCAAGACATCGCAAAAGAAGCACCTGATGTCGATGGTGGTGTCTCTGTCGGAGGTTGAGAAAGCAGTCAGGGATGTTCTCGATATGCTTGGTTTGCTCACTCCTCTCACCTATGCAGATTTTTTGAAAGAGCTGAAACAAAAAGCTTTAGCAAGAGCAAAACTCGGAGAAGAAGAGGTTTCTGAGAACAAACTAGTTTTTGAGAGCAATGATGGGAGAGTGGTGTGTCATCTTGCTTCTGACAAGGATAAGAAGACATCCATAGAGGTCATGGATTTTGCCACACCTGCTGGGAATATAGTACGATACGTGAGGAAAACATTTGGAAGCAGTGAGTTGGCAGCCGCCGAAAAGGAATTTAGAGTAATGAAAAGTCTTAGAGGGGCAATTGGAGTGATCCAATGTAAGGGAGACTCCATCCATGAGAGGAAAACATATCTTGGTGAAAAAGTCTACGTAATCTTTATGGAGTATGCAAGAGGTGGTACTCTAGGAGCTATGATCAAACTGCACCCTAAGGGACTCCCGCCAGCAACTGTGAGCAAATGGACGCGTATGATCCTTGTTGCACTTAAATCAATCCATGAGGCTGGATTTATACACGGAGATCTCCACGCCCAGAACGTTCTTCTTTTCCCTCGTGAGGGAGAATTAGAAGAAGTAAGAATCTCAGATTTTGGGGCCTCTGTAGAGCTTGGTGAGAATGTCAGCTGGTGGAGCCTTGACAGCAGATTCCTAGCGTGTCCAGACATCATGTCTCCAGAGTCAGTTTTGAAGGGAATGCTCGTGGAAGCGCATGACATATGGGCGGTAGGATGCGTAGTTCTTCAGATGTTCACAAACAAACCTCCGTGGCCCAATAGTTACAGAACGTCGAAAATCGAGAGTTGTTTCTTACTCAATGTGGCACCTACAGTTCCTCCCACCTTACCTGATACTGCGAGGGATTTTGTAAGACTTTGTTTGAAACTTGACCCTGAAGAACGCGCCACCATTCCACAACTGTTGGATCACCCGTTCCTGTCGGACCAGGAAGCTTAGGAGAGTCCCAGCTCAGAGACACGACTCATCAGGATCTCTCTCACTCCCTCTCTCTCTCTCTCTCTCTCTCTCTCTGTGTATGCAAATCATATAGGGCATAACAGAAATCTCTCTCTTTCTCTGTCTGAACTTAAGTAATTAGGTATCTTTTGTAAACACGGCTAGCTTTTTCCCAAAAGTTGATTGTTTGTGTGGTTTTACAGATGGACGACAATAGTTGCCCATTACGTTGCGTTTTCTTTCATGGATATTCCAATATGTAATCCCAATATGTGGTCAAATCTGTCTGCTCTTGGTAATTCTCTTGGTAATTCAAATTTCTTTTAAGGTCAAAATAATTTTTTTTAGTAGGATCAATGTTGCGGCGTAGCTAAAAAAAAGATAAAAAAAAAAATAACAGTTTTTTAGTACAATGACTGCAGTAGGAATTTAACACAATACTTCTCGAAACTTCCACAAGTGCCACAAGGAATTTAACACAATACTTTGGCATTATGCCTCTTCTTCTTTGTCCTTTTGAACTTTTAATTTGTTTAGGATGTGTTAAAACTTATGACCTGATTCCTTTGTATCTCAACAACTTTGTTGAGCATGTTCATTTATTGGTTAATCTCTTGTTTTTTGTGCTCTCATGTTGACATACTATTACTAGCTAATTTTTCTTTGTAATAATCATCACTCATGTTTTAGCCAGTTCTTGTTTTTGTTTGTCTGATTTCAATTTAATCCAGTGTTCGATTTGGATTTTGAGAAGCTAATTCATAGTTTACAAAAAAAAAAACAAAAAAAGAAGCTAATTCATAAGATACTTAATGTTGAATGTTGATGAGAGAAGAACACACTAGTTACATACTATACTGACTCTCATAAAAATTACAATAATAGTTACATAGGTTTATATAGGGAGGAGAATGCTAAACCTAAATGATATAGTTCCCTAATATACATAAGTACATAAATGAGATAATTATGAGAAATATATTCAAAGATATTCTAACTTATTCTACACACTTCTATACGCCCCTTCAATCTCAAGGAAGTGATCAAACAAAAGTGGAATTAATGGCTTGAGATTGATCTTCGTGGAATAGTAGAATGGGTAAGGTGACAGAGCTCGTTTGTGCTTGAACAAACGTAACAAAACTTGCTTTCGTTGGAAGCCTTTCTCTTGGCGGTGACTAAATCAGATCTTGGACAGATCCAATAAACATAGGTAGATATGGACCGTATCATATGGTGATGATCGTAAGCAAGACGTGCGATGGAAGCATAGAAGGTAATTAACCTTATTTGATACGAAGAAGCGGATTTTTTTTTCTTTTTTTTCGTATTAAAAAAAATAAAGCATTTATAAGTAAAGAAAAAAAATTGAATAAAAATCTCTTTCCTTAAAATGTGAAGTGGGCTTCTACTGGTAATCATTAGAGGAACAAAAGGAAAAAGAACAAAAAGAACAATAGGGAACGTAATAAACAACTTTTGAGCAATGAAAGGAAAACATGCAAAGAATAACAAAATAATAAATGGTAACCAAACAATAACACTATCTTTTATAATATATTTGATTAAATAGATCAACTTTTAATAATAATACTAGATATAATTTATATATAATGAATTTGACACTAATTTTAAAATATATTTTTGAATGAATTTAAATATTTAATGTTAAAAATTAATAATTTATATTAACCTATTATAGATTATAGTAATTTTTTATTTGTTATTTTTGATATAAACATCTCTTAAATATGTTTTACTATCCATACAAATTTTAAATAATGTATAGTAAGATTTTTTAACATGAAATTCATATCAAAAATATTTTTTAATGTCAATACATGATAAAAATATGAAAATATTATATTATGAGATTAAAATATTATTAATAAATAATTTTTTATTTATTTTAAATTAAAAAACGAATTTTAATATTTGTTTTTTTTTTGTTCCATTTGTTCCTTATCAATTTTGGGGAGGAACATTTTTGTTTTATTGTTCCTCATTTTGTGAGTAATGTAGAGGAATGATGTGGAAAAATGATTCCTTGTAAATGATAAAAAAATTGAGGAATGAAGAGGAATGTCACATTTCTTCTCATTTTTTTCCTAAATCATGGTTAACAATCGAGGCCGAAGACTTTTTTTTTTTTAAAATAAATATTATGACTTGATTCAGATGTTTATTTGAAGCATGAACAAAGAGAAGTTATTATTGTTTTTTATTTTTTTTGGTTTAGATTCAGAAGTTTATGATGAACTTGAATAAAAATAAAAATAAAAAAGCATTTGTAGCTTAGATTCAGAGGTCTATATCATAGATTTGAATGAAGAGAAGCACGATGGCTTAGATCCAGAGGTTCATGATGAACTTGAATGAAAGAAACACTTGGCTTAACAAAAATAAAATAAAAGAAAACGAGTTTGATTGTTAGATGAAAACTCGAGAGCAAACCTGCTCTGATACCATGTTGAATGTTGATGAGAGAAGAACACACTAGTGATTAGGAAATATTATATTGACTCTCATAATATTATATTAGATTGTGGGCTTCCAACTTAACACCAATTGGCCATGAGTGGAGAGGCCCATATATCTTATATAATAGTCAGGATCCTACTCAACTTCCAATGTGGGATACTGTATCCCTAATACGCCCCCTCGAGATGATGGCTCTTTTGGCCATAGATCTCGGTATGTTCGGTCATGAATCGGTGGGCCAAATATGGGCCAGACCGATTGTGGATTGGGTTGAGTATGTGCGGACCAGACTCTGATACCATATACCATATTAGATTGTGGGTTTCAAACTTAAAACCAATTGGCCATGAGTGGAGAGTCACATATATCTTATATACTAGTTAGGATTCTACTCAACTTCCAATGTGGGATATTGCATCCCTAATACTTAATACTGCATTCACTATCGGCACCACTCTCTTTTCTTTGCGACTCATCAATAAGTTGATCTTCTCTGTCTTCTCGAATCCGTTGCGATCGAATTTGGAACCTCAAGTAATCAGAAAATCAGCTTCTGTCTTGACTTCATTCTTTTGTTTGAAATTGTTTGGAAGATCAAGATAAGAAGCATTATCTGTTAGTGTATTTGTGAATCCATAAGACCTGGACACCCTCTTGTATGCATACATATCAAAGTCTCTTCTCTTAAAACCCTAAATTACTGCTAAAATCTGATATATCATCGACATAAAGATCACTTGCAGGGTTGGTCGATTGAAACAAAACCAAAATCATCATAATGCAAAACATATCATAGTAGCTAAAGACAAGTGTTTTCTAAATCGATCCAAACACCGAACCAGAAAAAGCTTTCGGGTCAAGGATCAACCGGGTTTACAAAAAGATTAACTATTACACATATATAGAGACATATACATACCAAAAACAAACCCTTCTTTGTTCTTCAATAATTGAAAGTTAAGCTTGTATGAGTTAATCTTACTGTTATTTTCTGTGCAGTTAGAGTAAGTGACAAGAACTTGTCACAACTTTTTTCCCATGTATACAGTTAGCCATGTTTGAGCCTCATTTCCAAAATCTAGCTTTTGGTGCGGTTTTTGAGCTTTACCATTCTGGTCATCTTTCACATGTACAACCAAAAAACGCAAAAATCTACATCCTATCTTTCATATTGAGCTACACCCGGGAGCCTTAGAAATCTGTTTCTCCTTCATCCACTGCCTCAGACTCTCAGCTTCATCAAACCGACCTGTAGCTGAATATATACCGGCCAACGTTACATAATAGCCAGCTTTTCCAGGCGCAAGTTGAATTAGCTTCCTCGCCACTCTTTCTCCAACTTCTACATTTCCATAAACCTTACACCCACTCAACACAGCACCCATAACAGCCTCGTCAGGTTCCACAGGCATATCTTCCAGAAACTTCTCTGCTTCCTCCAGAAGACCTGCTCGAGACATACAATCCGCCACACTAGCATAGTGTTTCAACTCAGGAACTATTTTATATTCCTGCATCAGTCTGAGATACAGCCAAGACTTTTCCACAAGACCGCCATGGGCACAAGCTGATAAGACACCAAGAAAAGTGACAGCATTTGGTATAATTCTTTCCTGGAGCATTTCGTCAAAGAGTTTAATAGCCATGAAGACGTCTCCGTCCAAGCCATAACCCAAAATAAGAGAGCTCCAAGAGATCACATCTCGATCCGGCATGTTTACAAATACTTCTTGTGCATAGTCCAGTTTTGAACACTTTACATACATATCTATTATGGCATTGCCGAGATTCAAGCCGAAGCAAGAGCATCTTCGGATACTCCATGCATGGACGCTCTTCCCATGCTTCAATGCCCCAAGTTGTCCACAAGCCATAAGTAAACTCACCATCACCACGGAATCCAACACAAATCCAGAATACGTCATTTCTCTGAACATGGCCAAACCCAAGAGAGCTTCTCCTTGCTGAACATACCCACCAAACATAGCCGTATAGAGAACAGAGTCTCTAAGAGGCATATCGTCGAACAACTTACGTGCATTTATAATTTCCCCCATATCAACATACATAATCACTAAGGCCGAACTAACAAATAAACTTGCGTTAAACCCAAGTTTCAAACACAAAACATGAATCAAATCCCCAAGTTTCGCTTCCCGTGAAGCAGAGCAAGCTCGTAGAACAAGAGGCAACGTAAAATCATCAGGCCTAACATATGATTCTCGCCACATACGAAGAAACAAATCAATCGAAACCGACGCAAAACCCGATCTTGAGAACTCGCCGATAATTATATTCCACGAGAAGATGTTGCGACAAGGCATGTGCCAGAAGACAGAAAGCGAAGTAGGAAAGAGACGATTCAGCTTGGAGTAAGCGAGAACGAGTTTAGAGCTGAGCACAACGTTGGAGTAGAGTGAGGTACGAAGAAGATGAGCGTGGAGATGGCGTAGATGCTTAGCGTTTGGGGAATGATGTAAAAGGGAGAAGAGATCAGGAGGGTTCTGTGTGGTTCCTGATAAAGCTCGAGCTGTGAAGAACAATGTCAAGAGATTCTTCGCTGGACGAGGATAGCAGAAAGAGGAAGACGATAAGTGCATCGAGGAAGATGATTTGAGCAACGAGGAAGAGAGAGCAAGTGCTTCGAATTCGAATTATTCGATCATCTCATCTTAAACTAACTATCCAAAATTTCATTTATGATTTTGAAACAAAATTATAATATGTGTATATTTTTAAATTAATATAATTGTGAAGAAAAACAATTTTGCAGCTAAATTTTTAGAATACTTAGTTCATATATACTTAAAATTGTCTAATTTTCAAAAAATAATTATACATTAGCATAACTAACTGACAATATCCAATATAATACTTGTAAAACATAAAAATAAAATAAGATCTGATAGTAACGTACACGAAATTGTACAGAAAAACTGTAAAATGTTATAAAATAGTATAAAATTGTACGAAAAAACGGTACACGAAAAATGTAAAAATTGCTGAGAATATATTTTTAGAAAAACTTTTATTAGTAATGTTTTTTTATTGGTAAATTTTAATGCACTATATTTTTAAAGTTTTGTACCATTTTATAAAATGGTTACCAATCAGTGCCTGTATATTTATCGTAGGCACTATAAATCGATATTGTAGACATATTAGAACTAAATTTCTGTATCGTAAAATTATAATGTAACTTATAAAATTTCACGAAAATCTACTTAAAAGTTGTCAAATTATCTATGTGTAATTTTAATATCATTTGTAATAAAACAAATTTTTAAATACTATATTACAAATCGGAAATATAATCTATTTTTTTAATATCTATTTTAAAATTAATAATATTTTTTCTTAGTAAATAAAAAAAATTGGTTGAGAAAAAAAATTAATTAAAATAAAACTTATTTTTTAAAAGAGTTTTGTTTTTGTTAGAGAAATGGAGCCGCCATTTCTAAAATAGAAGTTTTGGATCCACCGGTGGTAAAATTCGAAATCTCCCAGTCTCTCTCTCTTTCGCGCGCTCTCTCTCTCTCAATGTTCTTCCTAGACTCACAGGAGCAATACTCCTCCGATCATCTCCTCCATGAATCTATGGCGGATCCTAACCATCAATCTCCGTCGCCGCCCTGCGCCAACGGCCACCGATCCACAATTTCTCTGCGCACAGACCAAGGCGGATCGTTCTGTTTCCTTTGCTTCTCCAATCTCGTCTCCGACCAACGCGTTCCCACCGTACACATCTCCTACGCGCTCCACCAGCTCTCAATCGCTCTCTCTGAACCTATCTTCCTCCGAACCCTACTCACCTCTCATATCCACTTTCTCGTATCGCCTCTCGTCCACGCTCTCTCTTCGATTGATGATGCTCCAATCGCTATCCAGATCATGGATACCATCTCGGTTCTCTGTTCCGCTGTGGAATCTTCAATCGGTGAGGATTTTGTGGAGAGAATCTCCGATCAGCTCTCTTCTGGTGCTTTGGGTTGGAGCCGAAGACAGCTTCATATGGTATTGTTATCTTTTTTAGGGTTTTATCGCTCTTCAATTGGGAATTCTCGTTGAGAATTTCATGAATCCATCTAACTGGGTATAGATCTGCAATTGGAAACTATCGTACATTGCTTGATTTCTGGGTTTTGCAGCTTCACTGCTTTGGTGTTCTGATGAGCTGTGAGAACATAGACGTAAATTCCCATATCAGAGATAAAGAAGCTCTTGTATGCCAACTTGTTGAAGGTCTTCAATTACCGAGGTAATATGCATAAGCCACTTGGAGACCATTGTTCTTACTATCTTGTATGGGCATGTTGTGATTTATCACGTGTTTGTTATCCTCTTTTTGCTCATACTAGTGAGGAGATCCGTGGTGAAATCCTTTTTGCTCTGTACAAGTTTTCTGCTCTACAATTCACAGAACAAAATGTTGATGGAATTGAGATTCTTTCTTCATTGTGTCCTAAGCTCTTATGCCTATCTTTGGAAGCTCTTGCAAAGACACAGAGAGATGATGTTCGCTTGAATTGTGTAGGTGCGTATAGCTTCTATCTATTTGCTTCATTCCTATTGGGTAGACATTCCACCTCTAAATCTTGGAGGTGGATATATGTTAATAGCTGAAATTTTTTTGTATTTCAGCTAACATAGATTTTTGAACTTTGTAGCCCTTTTGACCATCTTGGCCCAGCAAGGTCTTTTAGCAAATTCACGTACAAATAATTTCAGCAGCATGAGCTTGGATGGAATGGATGATGACCCTATGCAGACAACTGAGACTGTAGTCGCCAGGCCTTGTTTAAATGTATTATTTGCCGAGGCCATCAAAGGTCCACTGCTTTCCACTGATAGCGAGGTGCAAATAAGAACCCTTGATCTTATCTTCCATTATTTATCCCAAGAGAGTACACCAAGCAGACAGATTCAAGTTCTCGTAGAGGAAAATGTTGCAGATTATATATTTGAGATACTGCGCTTATCAGGTAAAGGTGCTCTCTTTGGATAAGTGACTAAAATATTGCTATTGGGAATTCCATTATACTGAAAGGACCAGAAATTATCAATAAACTAGGGGAAGTTTGAGTTTAGAAGCTAAGAAATGAAGTTATCGTACACATTTATGATGTCAAATGCATAATTCATTGTTTCTTACACAAATTTAACATATTGTTCAATTGGTGTTAGTATACATTGCTAATGATTATTCCGTTTGACAGCTATCTTTTGCTTACTGTATTGTCCTCTGGAAGTTCACATCTGTACGAGCATTAATAGATATGTGTTTTATGTATCTGACTGACGTCCTAATCATGAACAGAATGGAAAGATCAGGTCATCAACTCATGCCTCAGAGTCCTTGATCTATTTTCCCTAGCTGAGCATTCTTTTCGGAAGAGACTTGTTATTGGATTTCCTTCAGTCATCCAAGTGCTTCACTATGTAGGCGAAGTTCCTTGCCATCCTTTTCAAATTCAGACACTGAAGCTTATTTCAAGCTGTATTTCTGATTTCCCTGGGATTGCTTCTAGTTCTCAAGTTCAGGAAATTGCTCTGGTTCTAAAAAGAATGCTTGAAAGATATTATTCGCAGGAGATAGGATTATTTACAGATGCATTTGCGATTATCTGCTCAGTTTTTGTTTCCCTATTGAAAACTCCATCTTTTGCTGAGACTCCAGATGTGTTAACATCATTGCAAGAATCCTTGAGACATGCCATTTTGGCCTCTCTTAGTCTCCCTGAGAAAGATTCAACCCAGATATTGCATGCAGTGTACTTACTCAATGAAGTATATGCATATTGTACTGCACCAACATCCATGAACAAGACCAGCTGTATTGAGTTAAGACACTCTGTTATAGACGTGTGTGCATCACATCTATTGCCATGGTTTCTCGCTGATGTCAACGAGGTCAGTGAGGAAGCAACTCTTGGCATAATGGAAACTTTCCATTCTATTCTGCTACAAAATTCAGATATTCAGGCCAAGGAGTTTGCAGAAATGCTTGTTTCAGCAGATTGGTTCAGTTTTTCATTTGGATGCTTAGGAAACTTTTCTACGGCTAAGATAAAACAGAGGGTATATTTGATGCTCAGTTCCCTTGTTGATGTTCTTCTTGAACAGAAAGCAGGGTCACATATCAGAGATGCTATTCCTTGTCTTCCTACTGATCCACAAGATTTGCTGTTTTTGCTCGGGCAAGATAGTTCCAATAATCAAGAATTGGCTTCTTGCCAGTCCGCAGCTCTGCTGATTTTCCATACCAGTTGGATATACAACGACAGGTGACTTAGGCTTCTGTTTTTAAATCACGTTTTTGATGGACGCACTAAATATCTGTAATCTATTTCTCTTCCTTATATTAGTCTGCATCTTTTGCAGGCTTGCAGATGATAAGCTGGTTTTAGCTTCTTTGGAGCAATACATCCTTTTAAACAAGACAAGTTTAATATGTGCCATCTCTGATTCTCCAGCTATGCTCCACCACCTAGTGAATCTGTATGGTCTTTGCAGAAGTCTTCAAAACGAGAGATACCAGATATCCTACAGTCTAGAAGCTGAGAGAATACTCTTCCATCTACTAAACGAATATGATTGGGACTTGAGTTTCAGTAATATTCATGTACAATCTATGAAGTGGCTTTTTCAACAAGAAAGTATCAGCAAAAGTTTAACTTACCAAATCCAAAAGATCTCTCAGAGCAATTTAATTGGAAATGAAGTTCACAATGTACATGGAGATGGCAGACAGAGATCACTCACATATTGGTTTGCAAAGTTGATATCAGAAGGAGAAAACTATGCTGCAACTCTTTTGGTTAACTTGTTGACACAGCTCGCAGAGAAGGGAGAGCAGGAGACTAATGTTATCTCAATTTTAAATCTGATGATCAAGATTGTTTCTATATTCCCAACTGTCTCCGACAATTTAATCATCAATGGCATTGGCAGTGCAATCCATAGACTTGTTTGTGGCTTTACTAACTCATCCTTGGGTTCATCTTTCACAACACTCCTTCTCCTAATATTCAATATTTTAGCTTCTGTGCAACCTGGAGTGCTTATAAAGGATGAATCATTGGATGCTGTGATTATAAAGGTATTGTCGTTTAAGACCTATTCTCGACCAACAATATCATTATATCAAATAGCTCAGTGAATCCTCTTTGTTATGTAGTTGTTAAACTATTTGAGGTTGCGAGACACTGCCATAACACAGAACCATGAAGGTATGATGGTGATTGGCATTCTTTCGTTGGTTTTGTACCACTCATCAGATGGAGCACTTGTTGAAGCTTCAAGAAGTATTGTGTTGAATTCGTATTTGGTATCCGCAATCAACACTGTGGTTGCTGTAGCTTGCTCAAAGGGTCCAGCATTGACTCAGTATCAGGATGAAACGGACATCGGGAAGGCTTTAGCATTCACGTTACCACTCTATTTTTTCTCATTAAGAAGGTAGCGTCGGAAATTATTAACAATTTTAGCTCCTACTTCTAACTGTTCTTTAACTCCCTTTTGGCCTTTAGCTTGCAGATTGTACTAGCTGGAGCAGTGGACTGGCAAACTTTTTTTGGCCCATCAAGCAACCTGGATACACTACCCGTAGTATGCATCCATTGCCATAATTTTTGCAGGTTGATGCATTTTGGAACACCGCAAATCAAGCTCATCGCCTCTTGTTGTCTTTTGGAATTGTTCACTGGATTATCACAGCAGATTGACATAAAAAACGAGCAACTACGGTGTTCTTCAGGTTACTTGAAATCAGTGAAGGCTGTTTTAGGTGGTCTTGTATTCTGTGATGACATAAGAGTAGCGACAAACTCTGCGCTTTGTCTGTCCATGATTTTAGGATGGGAAGACATGGAAGGAAGAACGGAGATGCTTAAGACCAGCTCATGGTACAGGTTTATTGCGGAAGAAATGTCAGTTTCCTTAGCCATGCCTTGTTCAGCATCAAATACCTTTGTGAACCACCACAAGCCGGCAGTCTATGTAACCGTTGCCATGCTAAGACTCAAGAACAAGCCAGCGTGGTTGAGAACTGTTTTTGATGAGTCTTGCATCTCTAGCATGATTCAAAATCTGAATGGGATGAATATCAGCAGAGAGATTGTAATATTGTTTCGAGAACTTATGCAGGCTGAGCTATTAAATTCCGAGCAAGTGACCAAATTGAATCGTTCCTTCCAGGTTTGTAACGTAGATAAGGTATCTCAATATTCGTTTGGATACATCAAATCGTTGTTATAACAAGCTCTGGTCCTGCAGGAACTTAGAAAACAAATGCACAGGAATGGAACTCAAGATGAGACCGTTGAAGAACAAGAGCAACAAACAATTTCCTCAATACATGATAATGGTGAAGTCCGCAACTATCTTGTTCAGTTGATGGTATCCAACTCATTTGGACGCACAAGTGGAAGTGAAACATACACCGAGAAGAAGAAACAGGTTATCGAAGAAATGGAAAACTTCTCCAAGCTATAATCAACAAGGGGGAATGGTGTAAATGTAACTAACACAACACCGTGTAAGGGTCTATACAAGACAGAGAAACAAGACAAATACAAGCAGAGACAATCGTGTACAAGAGAAGAAGACTTAAGAGAAGCTTACACAACTGTTAGTCTCTACATACAGTCTAGTGTTTGTATAGGTCGAAATTTACATTACTAAACTACAGTTTTCTGATTCGTAACCACAAGTTCCATAAGATTCTGGTACGTCCATGGTGTTGGATCTTCGCCTCTCATTTCTTCACAGCGCCTAAGAAACTGCCCTTTCCCAAAAGCAGCATGAACCAAAGGATCAGTCTTCATTTCCACAGGCTTATCAAGAAACCCAATCTTTTTCCAAGTCATAAAAACTCCAGTACCATCGAAACCAGCTTCACTCAAGTCGAAGACAATTCCCACAGTTACAAGATCAAGCTTCACACGTTTTGTCCGTAGCCCATCAAGGAGCAGCTCGATGCTCTTAAAATCCCCCATTTTTGAGTAAGCTAAAAGTACGATATTGGCAAAAGTTGTATTCCAAGTAACTTTAGCTTCTGTCATCTCTTTAAGAACATAATCCAAACCTTTTCGACTCACAAGACGAGAATGACACAGAAGCCTGAGACACCAAGCGAGATCAGACCTACGGGTTCTAGAATAAGAAATGCCACGACCCAGATCATCAAGCCTCGAGAACATGAGGTTATCGATGTAAACCTTAGCTAACTTCCTAACTAAACCATCATCTAAAGAAATCCCAAACCTTATAATCTTGTTACACGTTTCCTCCATTTTTTCAATAACCCCAAACTCCGCATAAGCTTCAAGCATGGACAACAATGTACAAGGCTCGAGAGTCATCTTCCTCGACATCAAGCTCTGATACATCTGCTCCATTCTCTTAAGCAACCCTCCACGGGAAAACTGGCGTATAAGTAGATTATAAGTAACATGGTCACGCACACAACCATCAGATTCCATTCTCCTAACGCACAAAACAATCTCATCATACATTTTCCATTTACCGTATGCTTCAATCAAGCCATCGTATGTCTCGGATATCGGTGACAGACCATTCTCTTTCATCTGATTCAAGTAGAACATAGCTTCCTCAAACTTCCCATCATCAGCATAACCATGGATGATTGAATTATAGATTTCTAAAGACGGACTTAGCTCATCATCATCAATCATACTACGAAAAGCTCGAATTGCTTCATTCATCGATCTTTCCTCACATAAAAACCTTATAACCCTCTCGTAATTGACCACACTTATTCGCGATGGTTCAAGATTCTTCCACGCATCATAAACCTGAGATTGCAATTCAAAGAACAAAAACAAAAAAAAAATCATTTTCAAAATGCTCTCAGATTTCATGAAAGAGATAGAGATGTAGAAGATGAAAAAATTACAGGAAGAATCTCGTGGAGTCTTGAAGAGTGACGGAGAAAACGAATTACAGCCCAGAAATGGTCTTTGCTCCAATCTCCATCCTCTTGAAGCAATTGTAAAGGACACGAACCGGGAAGACCAAGCCGCCGCGGCAATGAACTGATAAACCGCTGGTGGTGGTGGTGGAGAAGAGAGGTGGGCTGCGTCGTCGCGTAGCCATTGATAGACAAAGGCAAAGAGCGGCGGAGAGTAGAGGTTTTAGATATCGAACAAGCTCTTCTTGTTGAGAAACTGAGAAAGCTTGTGTTCGAATTCCATAGCGGAGGAGGAGATGGTTTCTTCTGTAGAGTCGCGCTGTGGAGAAATTGCGCCGTCGTCAGATTCTCCATTTACACTCTTTCGAAGCTCTCTGCAAAAGTTCTGAACATAGATTCGGTTCTGGTGCGGTTTAGTTTGAATTCGGTTTGACGCTTACAAACCAATTCACAATTATTCGGTTAACTGAACCAATTGCACCAACTCTAAAGCAAACAGAAAAGAAAAATTATAGTCAAGGTAAAAGACAAAGAAGTGGTCTGCATAAAAGTATTTTGAAAGCCTAAGCAACAATAATAATAACTCCTACAAAGAAACCAAACTAGTTAAGTACTAAACAAGTCTTTGTACTAGCAAGTCCGTAGTAGAATCAATTCATCATCTCCTACACCATTATACAATAGAGTGGTTTGGTTTATTTAACATTGGAGCAGCAAACGAATGGCACCCAAAAGGGTCTTCCTTTCACTTTCCTCTCCTCTCTCTTTAAGTCCACTGGATACTTTGCTGGCGAGTTCCATTCCTCGCTGACTTCTCTTTTCTCTGGCCAGCGACCGTCTTCAGGGGATGTCTCTTGTCCCAGTATTGAACTCACTCTCGGTATGTTGTTATTCTCATGATGAGCCTTTGCCTCTTGTTGCAGCCTTGGTGATCTTGCTTCACTCAGAAGGTTCTTTAGCGGGACGTGTTGCTCCTTTGCTGTGCTGCTCCAGCTTGTTGTCTTCTCCAAGGTGATCTCTTGGTTCTGAGATACGTTTTCTGGTTTGTTAATTCCAACGCTTACTCCTGTTCCATCAAAATAGAATTTGGCTATTACAAAGATATACAATATAAATTTCAATGAGAATTATATGTTGAGGAGGGTTTTGGGTTCTTGCTCATATAAGATGGAATACGTACCTGTAACTGATCCAAAGTTGGATTCTAACGCACTAGATGTATTATTTCTAGTGACTAGTGGACTTGAGACCAGAGATCTAATGTGAGCTTCTGAAAGATTCTGCAATCTCCCAAAATCCCGATGGTCGTTTGATTCTATTGTCACTGGGACCTCAGCATAATAGTTGTGTGCTTTGACATTACTGTCAATCTCATTTGCTTGAATTACCCCCAAGCCACCAACAACTCTATTGAATTCTGTCCTTCCGCTTTCCAGTGACTTCTGATTCGCTGTTTTAACAGTGTCATCAGGCGCAGTGCCTGTGGATCCAGAATGGCTAATAGGATATTCCATTGTATTTGTTTCGTTTACGAAACTGCTTTCCTCCACAGGCCTCCCGTTGTTGATCTCTCTGCAAACATTATCTTTACTTTCCGGAAATCCAGCACCGATTTGGAGAGCGGAGTCTTTAGATCTTTCTGTTGAATTTTTTATCTGATCACCTGCATCATCTCCCTCAAATACAACAGACACTGGGGAAACATAGCAAGAGGATTCAGAACTCGGCGTGTCTTTTGGGTTGTTCCCATCCTCAGCTACAACATTTGCTTGAATAAGTTCCCTCTCATGACCAACCAGATCAGCTAAACCAGTTTTGTTAGCTGCACTGCTCACATCAACATTCGAGTCAACAACTATAGAATCTACAGCAGGTAGAGAATCTCTCAAGGTTTCTGATTCATCAGTATTTGCATTCCCTAATGATAATTCACCCTCTTCAGCTTTCACTTTGATATCTTCGGAGCCAATCTTAGATATCATTATGTTCTCTGCGCTAGGAAATTCCTTGATCGCAACCAAATCAGTTTGGCCTTGAGGTTCAGTTTTGTCTCCGACGAGAAGCTTGTCTGATGAAGGAACCTCTGAACCAGTAGTCAAGCCTTCATGCTGAATTTCTAAATTCTCTGCCTCAGTAAGAGTATCTGTTTCACATACTTCACCCTTAGATGTCTCAGCACGATAAGGATTCACAGAATGACTCGCTTCAAATTCTTCAAGGCCTTTGATTCCATGCAAAGAGGCATCAGCACTATCAACAAAAGGCATATCCTCAGAAACAGATTGACTGGCACTGTTAACCTGAGTTGTATCAGCTTTTGCTGGAGAAGTATGGACTGGAATATCCTCACTGATTATACGGCTAGCTTCACCAGGATGAGTCATACTCATTGCTTCTGATGTGAAGTCGTAGGGACCCTCCACGTCTGAGTAAATCACTTCATCGTTCCATGATGAATCTGAAGTGTCCTCTCTTTTCGTTAATGAAGATGCTAACTTAGTAGTTTCAGATTCTTCTGTTAACTTTCCTTTGCATTCTGTCTCTAATACAACATTTGATATGGAATCACCACCGTCAATAACCTGAGCTTCCTGTGGTGACTCAATCACAGTTTCAGATGCTACAGAGTGTTCTTCAGTAGAACGCTCTTCACCTTGTCGATTATCAGATGCTGCTTCTACTGCACTTGGGGCGTCATAGTTCTCAAGGACTTCCACAGGTGGAACTTCACAGCTATCTTGAACCACTTCAGAGCTTTTCACCACACTGCCCGTTGATGAATTAATGCACTGGGGAGTTACACCTGAGCAGTTCCAAATTCATCAGCTATATAGTCGAAATAAAGCAGAGCAAAACATGAAAGCCAAATGGGAAAACAAAACCGAGAAATGTGATAAAGAGATGAGTCAGTGAACTAAAGAGTTTCCCTTTGAACTTTATAGTCTACACTCTGCAGGTTTGGGATATCGTAGAAAGGTCAAAAGAAACTAAACTAAGAAAAACTTTATTACTAGAAATGAAACAAAACTTATGTTAGCACTGATAAACCAACAAATTCACATTAGCATCAAAAGGTATCAAAACACTATTAATCGAAGGAAGTAACTAACTCACCAGGAATCTCATTACCCTTTGCCGCATAGTTTGTAGCAATCTCTTCCTTGAGAGAATCAGATCTCGAAAACTCACAAACAGCATCAGTAAACACATCCTCTTCAGAAACATCCCCAATCCTCTCATCACCTTTTTCCACAACTCTTGAACCTTACCACCAACATAGTACATTTACACATCAGCAACAAACAAAACAACACAAATCTTTAAACTTTAATCCATCCAAAGCAAAAAAAAAAAGAGTTCTTCTTACTTGGGGGTTTTTGCTCATCAAGAATCTGATTGGGGTTATCAGAGTCAAAGATCTCAAATCCTTTGATAGTTCCACAGATTTTCTTGTGAGCACGACGGTTTTTAGCACTAGGATGAGGATTAGGATAACTCCAACCACATTTAGTGCAGACATGACTCTTACCTCCTCCTCCTCCTAAAGGTTTACAAACAAAAAATAAAAAGTCATTCAGTGTCCATATTCTCAAACTGATGACAGATTCTACAAAAAGACAACTCTTTTCATACAAAAGAGAACTTTTTATAGAGAGAATTAAAAACCAGAAAGCGAAACAAGTCATAATCAGAAGAAACATTAATCAAATAGAAACGACATTAAAAGACAAAAAGAAAGAAACCATTATTGCAACCATAAATAAAAAACAAAACTTTGCTAGAAATATCTAATAAAAACAAGAAGAGAGTATGAGAGAATCTGAGAAGCAAGAAACAGGAAAGAAGAGAAAACCCTAAAGAAGAGAGACACATTGGTGGAAATGATTAAGGGGAAGAAGAAGAACCTGGAGAGTTGCAGTGGTCCTGAGACGAATCCATGAGTGTGTGTTTTGTTATTTTAGGTTTTATGTTTTTAGAGGAGAATGAAGAAGAAGAAGAATGAGGAAGAAGTGTAACAACAAACAACACAACAAACAGTTTCAAGTTTTGGGGGAGTTTCGATTTAAAAGCATTGATTGATTGATTTTGAGATTTTGTGGTGTTGTTGAGTTTTTAGGGGAAACGATGAAGCGAAGCAAAAGCCCACTACGAACTTACACAAATACTCTCACTTAACCAAAATCCAAACAACGATCGGGTGGGTGGGGCCCATTTATAATTATGTAGTAAATCGTATTTTTAGGTTTATTTAGTAAAATGTGTCAACTTCTACTAAAGATTCATAAATTTTTTTAAGAAGATAAATTGTCCAAACGATATTTCTTAAGCCTGCCACCACGAGTGTTCCTTCAGATCTTGCCACCAGTTTACCCGCGGTTCTAGCTCCCAAGTAAAACCTGACAGTGTTCGTAATAGAATTAGCCCTCCTAAAAATATAGTACCCACACGATAGAACCTGGAAGGTAGATAAGTATCGTTTTTATATTACGACGTTCTTGTATACATCATTGCATTGTCGTAGCCTCCGTTGCAAGGAGGATGAGGACGGACTCTGATTCTATTTCTAAACACTGATTTGAGCAAGCAAGCATCCATCTTTTGATTTCCAAATCGGCCTCTTTTTTTTTTTTTTTTGAATATTATAGAAGATAAAATAAAAATTTTTGATTTATGATATATTGTTGCTTATTTGTTGAGAATATTAGTATAGTCTACTTACTTGTGTTTCATTTGATGATTTTAGCGCATGTAATCATAATTGAAACAAAGTTATATAGTTATTCTTTTATCAAACTAATGACTTTTTCTAAACTTGTCCAACATACGGATATAATATATCGTTTGATTACAACTTACAAGTGTAATCTATTCCCAAAGATGCTCCATCAATACACATTTTGTACAATAAAATAAGAACAATATCACTAGCTTTTTGTGTTGGGATCCATGGATCACTCTATATATTTTGGTAAACATAAAGTTGTAGTGGTAGATTATATAGATTATATAGAATTCAAAGTAATTGACAACGGTGAAGATACCTGAATGAAAGATATATATGTCTTTGGAGTTTGTTTCTCTATATGTTTTTCTTAATTTCAAATCTCGTGAGTAACATTAGAACAAATATGAGATCATGTTTAGTGGTTCACTAAAATTTTTGTTTTGTTTGAAAATTATTTGATTGACCAATAAATTAGATTGCCATATGTTTTGAAATTAAACATCGACTTTATAGAAAAAGAAATTTTAGTACAATTGGTTCATTGAACTTGTTTCTCATTGAAGGCTTGATCTTTTTACGTATTTGTAATTTATTATTAACTCATTTTGCTACTTTGTTCCTATCTAGGACGATTGAGAGAAATCCAAAAAATTATGATGAATTATACAACCAAACCCTTTTAGGTCTTATTTTCCTAGTTTTAAAGTGTTGCAGTTGCTAGCGGTTAGTACCAATTATAAAAAACACTCCACTAAATTTTAAAAGCTCTCTCCCACAAGCGTTTACGACTGATTTAAAAAAGAAAATAACTTAAAAAGAAGGAAAATCTATAAACTGAAATATATTTTACCATGTCCTATATATTTTTTTCGTCATCAAGTCCTATATATATTCACATTAAGTATCAATAAATAATCATTCTCTAAATATAATTTTTCAATATTATTTATTATTTGTGTTTCACTATATAAATTATTTGTTTGACATTTGAATAATTATTAAGATGTATATTTAGTAATTAACTAATTATGTATGGATTTTAATTATTAACCATGTTTAAAAAAGTTATTCTTTTTCATAAATATATTTAATTTTGTAAAATTAGTATTTTGGTAATTCATTTATGGTTTTTAGTTATTAATCATATTCATTTTTCAATATATATATTGTTTTTTGCCTACTTTTTCAATATATTTTTATTTAATCATAGTAATATAGTTTTTATTGCATTTATACATTTTTATAATCATATTGACATTTATTTTTACAATTTTTGATTTAACCGCTATTGCACCCACTGGTCAACTAATCATAGAACTCCCGCAAACGCAACCATATAAACGCAAAACCAGTCGATCAAACCGCCTAATAACGCTTGAAACCGCAACCTCCCGCTTTCACAATTTTTCGTTTAAACCAGTCAGACCCTAATTTACGGAAGTAAATTTGAATCGGCCTTAAAAATTATAATTGTAACAATTGTAATTTTAGCTTTAAAAAAAAAAAATCAAACTGTTCCACATTTGTATACACATACAAAACGAAAACGATATTGTTTGATGTCTTGTGTACTCTATGAGTATGATGTATCACCTGCTGTCTCCACTACTCAAAGCCAAAAGCAATTTCAGTTCGTTGCTCACGTGACTTGCAAGAGACTCTCTTACACCCTACTAGCTAGCCTTAGATGCAATTTTGTGGTTGGAAATTTTCGTTTCTTATTTTTCTTTATTTCTCAATGTTTAGATTTACAACATGTTCTGTTGTTGCCTCGGATCAATCATAGATCCACCTTTTGTAATAAAGATGTTATATCACAAATAAAGTTACCAAAATGATGAGACAAAATGATAAATCATTATATGATTACAAAAGTTCGACAGTAATTAGTACTTTAAAAAAATTATATTTAAGAAAAAATTGATAAAGGAAAAGGAGAGATGTCAAATCTGTGAGATTCATTTACTGAAGAGAGTAGGGTCAATACAATTCTGGATTGCAATGAGATTTATACACAAACAGTTACAAATTATAAATAAATAATGCTTACAAGCAAATCATCTTTAAGCTTTACTCTCTCATGATGATGATGATACTGTTGCCTCCGACAACTTCCTCGGTCCAGATGCAGCTAGTAGCTCGTAATCCTGTTCAATCAGTAACCCCAACTTAAGCAATCTCTCTATACAACCTGAACAGTTTAACTTGATGGGACAAATGTGCTTTTTAAATGGCAAAGTTTTGGTTTACCTGAACAATAGACTGTGAGCAGAATTTGCCAGAGAGAACAGCACCTTCCATAGAAGCTAAGTACTTCTGTTTAGTGTAATCTCCAGCTAAGTAGAATCCTTGAATAGGTGATCTCTGTAGAGGACGACATGGTTCGCAGTTTGGGATGGTCTTATACACAGACCTGATCATGCAACAAAAATGGAATATGTTGTGTCTATCATCATAATGCCAAGTCTCTTGTGAAGTTTAAATAAAATGGGAGATTATACAATGTTGGGTTTGATGTAATTTCTCTAACCTTGGAGTTTTGACGACATGGTACTTCAAGATTTTAGCTTTGCTTTGGTCAACTGCGATTTCATCCGGGAAGAGTTTCTCAAGTTCTTTCATTGTTGCATCTATGATGTCAGAGTCGGACCGTGATATCCATTCCTCTGCTGGTGCAAATACTAGCTCCAGCATCGACCGGTTAGGATCGTAATATTCCTACAGTTAATCATGAAAGTAAATGCTTTGTTTAACTTTAGGAAAATCTAGGTTTAACTAGAACTGAAATCAAGTAAGCCAACAAAATATATGACAATTGACAAGATACTTGTAAGTGTTAGACAAGAGACGTACTAGTGCACCAAGTTTTAATCTCTTATGATAGATACATAGTAGAGGAACAGGTTTAGAAAGACAAGAATGCGTTCTTACCTTACAAGTTAAGGACATGTCGGCATATACACTCAGAAGGTTACTTCTGCAAAAACACCAAAACAAAAACCAAGAACACGCCTTAACTGTTGCTGATTCGAGACTATACATTTCTTATTCTTGATGAAAAGTCAAGTATTAATGTAAAACTCTTTTTTCAGCACGATATCCAGCTAAATATTCTATAAGATGTAATGCCTCAAAACTGCGTAAATAAGAAATTCACCTGCTAAAGAGTAGGTGATCATATGTGTTCTTCAGTTTTCGATCAAACCTACGATAACAGTTCATAGCAGTTAAGATCTGCTTGTGATCTCACACCGAAATGCCAGAGAAAAGAAAAAGAGAGGTATCGGTCTCACTCACCATATATGAACATTAATAACTGGCACTCCAACTAATTTATCCAATTTCTTGAAGTATGGTATTTCTTTCCAGGAATCTGGTAAAAGGAGCTTCAGGATATCAACTACAAAAAAAAACAGAAACCGCATATTAATAAGCAGGATACCAGATGAGATATAAACCCACAAGACAGCATGGTAGTAAACCTGGAGCGGCAAAAACATACGCGTCGCCTTCCACAGTGCTTCCATTAGTGAGTAAGAAATTCTTAACAGTGCCATCGTTATTGAGCTCAATTTTCTTTATCCTAGAATTAAGTTGCACTTCCCCACCTAGTGATCGAATATGTTCCACAACTGGCATACAAAGCCTTTCTGGAGGATTGCCATCCAAGAATGCCATCTTCGAACCATGTTTTTCCTGTCAATGTAATTTCTATTAGTTTGCATTTGCAAGTTCTCAAAATCTGAAGAAATCTGAAGGGCTGGAATATCAAACCTGAAGAAATCGGTTCAAAGCTATCAAAATGCATTGCATTGACAGTTCATCAGGGTTTATAAAGTTTAGCGCCTTTGACATGGCAATAAACACCTCGTCGGTCACACGCTCAGGTACTCCCTGGACAAGTATACTTTATCATAATCTATTATTATCTGACGAGCAAAAGTACATGCAGGAGAATAAAACAAAAACAACCACATGATCTGGAAAAATCTGAGCTAACCATAAAGTTGACAAATAAACATGATCCACCATGCTAACTACTCTAGAAAATTTAGTTGATGTGAACTCAAATAGCCTACTTGCCTGCTTTTGCATCCACTCTTTGACTGATAAACCATCTTGGGCCTCAACATACGCCTGGCCGCCGACCATGGCTGGCAAAAGTCCAATAGCAAACTTTATTTTCTCTGGCCATGTCAGCATTTCGTTGTTCCTCAAAATAGCCCAAATTCCTACAAAGTAAATCCAACATCAACAACTTGTATTATCTGCCAGAAACACATTAATTACACCATAGACACATTTCAGCACTAATGCTACACTGGAGTTCAGTTGTCATCTTGCCTTGACCAGCAAACAGAATTTTGCATTTTAAATTACCAGTCTAGTACATGGAAACTCGAAACTAGATTCCTTACATTGGAAAGAAAAATGACCATGTTCTTTACGACGTCTAGATCACATACACATATGCAACATAGTTACTAACCCTACTTTTTTACTCAGTTCCATCATAATTTATTTTACATTCAACTCAAGTTTCTGCCTATTAATCCAATATTATCAAATCAAATTCAGGATGCCACTAACTATAGATTCAACCACTGTTTTCATCATATATTTTCTGTTTTAAAGTTCAAACTACATGAAGCAGCAATATTATATTAGTAGGTTAGCAGATAATAGTATGCCATAACTTTATCCTCTCACCGTTCAAGGGTGCTGGTAGGACATCTGGGAAGTCAAATCTACTAAATTCACCAGGTTTACTTGGCATAGCAAAAATCATGGAGTGTTCTTTCCACTGCAACCGATCATTAATCCCGAGTTCTCCAAATAAATTCTGCACATTCGGATAAGCACCGACTTCCGGCAAGAATATGAAGAGAGTCAAGAGAAAAAGTAAAGAACTTCACTAAAGAATATTAATAACAGGGAAAACAGCTAAACATTGTTCTGCATTTTATTCTAAATTTGTTGGTAGAACTAATAAATGAAAGGGGTCTTTCTTGGTTATCTCAATGAGTACATTTCAAAACAAGTACAAGATAATAAGGGAAAAACTTTATAAAAACTTGTTACTATCAGAATTAATAAATGCATATGATCTAATTGACATCAGCTTATTTTCTGTGTGTGTAGCATCACTTTGCAAACAGACGTATCTTATGCAGCTATCTATTATCAGACCCTGAAGCTTACATTTGTAAATCCAATGTAAATTCAATCCAAGTTGTTAATCATCTACCCTCTCGTGAACAACTTATATAAGAGGAGCACCAGATAAGATATAAATTTTTGAACTTACAGAATATATGTAAACCGGTTTCATACCAATCCCCATCTTCATCTTTCCATGCAGCTATCTGCAGGAAAAAAAAAATTTCACATTGTTAACAGATCCTCTCAAATATAAAAGGTAAGGTAAACTTTCTAAATGGAACAAAGAAGGACCTAACCCAAGAGTCACAGAACACAACAACAATGTAACAAAATATATAATCATATTCATAAGAATTCTTCCAGTAAACTACTCTATATTGTTTTATACTAAACCTATGAATTGGAAGAGGTTGTGCAGTGTACAGAACAAGACAGAAAACATAAGAACATAAAAAATAAACAATTTGGCAGTAAAAGACTCAAGAGAGATACATGTACACAGTTGTGTACCTAAGAGCTGTAAACACTAGTTATATCTTGTAGTCTCGCAAACATAATTGGTACAGCCTTTGGAAATTAGCAAATCTCACAAGAATGATGAATGTAAACAAGCATGAGTTGTTCGACGATTAAGAACCAATCGAAGTACCTTTCCACCAAGAACATCTCTTGCTTCTAGCAACAAAGGTTTATGGCCTGCATCAGCCAGGTACTTTGCAGTTGATAATCCAGCCAATCCTGCAATTATTTGAGAGGCAAAAGTGCATCAGGCTTACTAAACAAACTTCATCAGATCTTAAACGGATCACTATTTATTGACACATACCAGCACCAGCGATAACAACTTTCAAAGGCTTTGCAGGACGAGGAGCACTACGGAAAGATGCAGATAAACTTGCAGCTTCCAAGAAATTAACAGTATTCTCAAGCTCAGGCCTTGGAATATCCACACAAACTACCTGTAATGACCTCTCTTTAATCAAAACAACACTTACACAATAGATAAAATTTCGAGAATTCCAAGTAAAAAAAAAAAAAACCTGCAAAGGACCAGCACTCCTCCTCCTTGTTCTTGTCTTAAGTGCTTGAGAAGTCGGAACCCTAAAGCTATGTCCCATCAATTCACAACCTCCAGATGAAATAGCCTCCAAAAACCCATTTTGATAAGGCAAATTCGCCGCAGAAACATTCCCAAACACAACCATCTTTCTCCACCTTAATTCACAATTCCCTCCTACGAAGAAGCCAAAACGTAATTAGAATTACAAAACACACAAAAAGGAGGAAACTTTGTATCTTAGAGGAAACCCATGGGAGCAATTCAGACAAAAGTTATCTTTTAACACATAACTGACAACAAGAAGAACTAAAAAGCTGACTTGATGTAAAGGGCTACAGTAGTAGTTCTCGAGTATCTTATCTTTACCTAACGAGTAATCGTAAAGTAGAGAAACCAGGAGAGTCAGCGAAGAAGAAGAAGAAGGAAGCTGGGTAGTGGGAGTAGCCGATAAGTATAACAATATGGTCTTGGATGGTTTTCAGACCACGCTCTACTTTTTGCTTACGAAAGATAGAGATTACCACAAAAATTAAAATTAAAAGACTATATTGTTTGCATTTCGTTAACACCGTAGTATTCTATTCCATTCCGGGTCTTATTGATTAATCGAGTTGTAAGAGAGTAGAGACAATGCATCTCTCCTAATTACAGTATGATAAGATCATAGAGATGATAGATATGATTTAACAATTAAAGTTATAAAACAAAATAAAGTATAGACAAACATAAACAAGTGAAAATTGTAATCGGTATTGCCATTTGTCGGAATCTGAATTCAAGATCAAGTTCTCTAAAGTTGTCAAGATAATTTGGACATATGGTTTAATAAAACAAATTCTAGATATCTCAAATCTAGAAGGATTTGGGGTTGGAATTACAAAAAAAAATTCATGTTTGTTTGAGAGATTTTCAACAAATAACAATATTAACGGTTTGTTGGTAAAAATTTATATCGGAAAATAGTAATTAGCATGAATGTTTCGAATGCCTATTTGTCAAAAAGATTTTGTAATTGTTAGAGGAGTGGTTTTGTCAAAATTTCAGCTAGTTGATTTGTAGTTTTCATGTAATTAGGTGCAATAGTCCGAAGTTTGGATTGCATCTCGAACGAAATGACAATTTGCTTACACATTTTTATGTTCTCTTTTGGCAAACATACGTAATTTGGTTAGGATGTGGTTTGGTGAATGTCGATAATAACTAGAAGCATATTTGGTCTTGTAAGCTCTTGTAATACAACGGAAAGGTGTTTTACCTCTACCAATGAACATGCCACACAAGAAAATCTTCACATAAGATAAACCATACTAAGAGTTGTAGTAGAGCAAGCAGTCGTCGTTGGATATGCAATAGACAGAAATAAATTGTTAAAGAAGATTCGATATTGAAAACAATCAATCGAATTAAAATTTCAGAAAAATCGAAATTTCAGAAAGAAATCTGAAATCGAAAAACTAAAGAAATAGTGAAGAATTTTATTACTAATTTTTTTTTTATTTAACAACTTTTAAAAAGATTAGCTCAAAGAAGCCAATTTGACATAATATTGTTTACATAAGAAATATAATGTGGTTCGAAAAATTCGTGCTAGCAAATCCTAAGTGTGTTATACTAAAAGTTTTTGTTAGTACTCCAAAGTGTGTTATACTATAGTTTTAATTTTGTTTTAAAACATCTTTTTATATTTATCAATGTGACTTTCAAAACCAAATTCTCAATTTATCTTTAAAGTAAAATATATTTTCATTGAAATTAAGTTAACCATTATTCATTAGATACAAAATATACATGTATAATTCATAATGCTTATATAATTTGGGGAAAATGATAGAAAAACAAATTATAGAGAAAAAACTTCATTAAATTATATGTGTTCTTCTCACTTTTTCGGAAATTGGGTCCATTATATCTGATGGTGAAATACGTTTAGAATCTAAAACTAGTGGACTAGCAAAGCCCAATAGTCCATTTATATAAGTTTTTATAACAAACTTTGAATAATAAAAAATAAAAAATGAGAAAAAGAAAAGGTAAAAGTGGGAACGAACAGTCGAATCGAACTTTACTCTCCTCCTACCTCCTTCCCATTTGCTCTTTTTTTTTGACTTTTCGCTTCCTTTGACTTATCAGTCTCCTCTTCTCTCTCTCTATCTTTTGATCAAATCCATCTTCATCTTCTTCTTCAACCTCTTGAATCTCACAAATTCTCAATCCTCAAGCTTCTTCTTCCTCCTCTTCGTTTCGACAACAATGTCTAATTTCACTTATTCTTCCGCTTTCAACTTATCCGACTCCTCTTTAAACTCCGCCATTGGTTCTTCTTCCTCTGCGTTCTTCGTCTCCTCCGATGATGATTCCGATGACGCTTGTAGCATCTGTCTCGAGCCTTTCTCTCTCCAGGATCCTTCCACTGTCAGATTCTGAACTCTTCTCTCTCTCCCTCTCTCTTTGTTATTCTAACATTTGTCTTAGATACGCTTCACCTCTTTTCTGGGTTTTACGATCTCGTTATCCCCCTTTTGCCTTAAATCTTGGAATAACTGGAATTTGAAACTGAGATTATGCCTTAGTAATACGAGATCGTTAGATTTCTCGATGATTTGTTCTTAAACCCATCGGTGAACATGTTCGATTCATCGTCTCGCTTTCTCATATCTGGCCCTATGGAATCTACCATAAATTATGTTCCATTGTTGTTACTTCTCCGATGTTTCCAATATCTAAATCTTCTGCCAAATGGATGTTCACTTTCAGGTTACAAGTTGCAAACATGAATATCACCTTCAATGCATCATTGAATGGTACTATGTCAAAATCCAATCTTTGATCTTATTTGTTCTTTGTTTAGATTTCTATTTCTTGTTCATCTATCAGTGACTGATTTGTAAATTGGGTGTTATTACACAGGTCACAGAGAAGCAAAGAGTGCCCTATTTGCTGGCAACTGTTTGTTTTGAAAGATCCTGCTAGGTACTCATTCATCTAAGAACAAAGATTATTTGCTCACAGTTAGGTTTTAATTAGAACGGTTCCTATTTTGTAGCCAAGAGCTTTTGGCTGCTGTGGAAAAGGAAAGATTGTTGAAAACTAGGAACATATCTTCATCATCTCCAATTTCTATTCATCACTCTCTTGAGGATTTTCACTCTGAGGAGGTTCGAAATGTATCCACTGTGGTTTTGTAAAACTAAGGTGGTTTGGTTCTAGTTGTTGACTAAGAGGTGATATATTATTTTCCCAGGAGGAATCGCAGTTTAACAGCTTTGATGAACAATTCTTGAGGCAACTCACCGAAGCTGCCCATAGACGTTGTCTGCTTCGCAGAAGGGAGAATCAAACCTCCTCCAGTTTTGTTTCGTCCAGTACTGATCCCATTCCCAGTACGATGCATCCTTCTGATTTTATCAATCTTTATCGTATATCTGCTATTTCTCAAGATGAACATCAACTCGCAAACCTTTGTCCTAGTCCTGGCTCATTGACCGCATCTCCTGTCTCTGGTCACTCTTCCGCTCCTACAGATAGCAACAACGCATCCAGGTATGGACTTGAACAGATAACGAGCTTCCATGATTTATTTGGTTTCTATTTGCTTGGGTTGCCTCTCTAACCAGCTTTCATGATTTATACGGTTTCTATTAGTTTGAGTTTGCTCGAGAAAATGTGTATATGGGACAAGGCTACACAATGCAGAGACTCTTATATCTCCTGTTTCGCTTGGCTGGATTTTTGTCCACTGATAAATATTTTAGATGGCTATTGAATGCGAGACCATGTCTTTTCATTACAAAGCTACTTTTTGGAAATTTCTCAAGCCTTTAAATTGGTTAGAACTGACCTAAACCCTATTTGTCATCAGAATCTCCCCTGGCCTTTCTCCATCTCGTTCATCTCAAAGTCCAGATCCACCTGAAGCATCCTCGCTTCCAGAAGCCATTAAATCCAAACTATCTGCAGCTTCTGCAAAGTATGTCAATCAATCCTTCCTCATTTGTTCAGAAGTTGGTAACAGAAACTGATTGGGACATACCTGTAGGTACAAGGATTCGATCTCTAAAAGTAAACAAGGTCTTAAAGAGAAGCTACTTGCTCGCAATAACTCAGTGAAAGAATTGAGCAAAGGAGTGCAACGTGAGATGAATGCAGGAATAGCTGGTGTCGCACGAATGATCGACCGTTTGGATTTTGGTTCAAAACGTTTTGGAGGGTCTGCTACTGCTTCTGGATTCAATTTCTCATTCAAAGGGAAGCGTGTTGAAGCCAATTCCAAGTCTAACAACAATGGAGACAAAACCGAACCGCAAAGCCTGCAGGTTTCAGACTTCTCCACTTCTCCTGGTTTCTATATGTGTTTCTCTAACACATAAAGCTATCGATTGGTTTTGCTAATGAGGATCGTTGAAATTATCTCAGGGTGGAGAAACGTGCTGATGAAATCAAATAAACGGAGAGGCCTTTTAATGCAAGCGATGTACGTTTCCATTGAATCAACTTACCCGTTGGTCTTCGCATCCTGCATTGTTCAGAGCTTACCACGGAGTCACGGTCTCGTCTCTCTCTCTCTCTCTTTTCTCTCTGTTACTTTTGCGATGAAGTACTTCTAGAAGGCTAAAATAAGCATCTGATGAGTAATCTTTTTAATTACTCGACTTTCATTGAGTTAAAAACTTTATATAATTTTATTTTCAAAGGATAATGTTATATATGTTTTTCCACGTAGAATTGGATAATTAGTCCGCTGAAATCAATATTGCATTATGATTCTATTTATAGACAAGTCCACAAATAAAGCCAAAAAAACAAAAAAAAAATTGAAGATAAATATCGAATTTGATTAGGAACACCTGAATCTGGCAGGGATCTCTATATATTTATAAGTCTTCAAAAGCTCTATAAAAAACTCAAAGACATGCAAAATTTCAAACGTAAGATAAGATTGCAGAGAGTCAAAACAAATAAGAAGGCGAAGTCACTCTTATACACAAAACGTTGCAAACATAAGATTGGATTGTGTGGAGAGCCAAAACAAGAAGGCAAAGAGTAATGACAGGAGAACCTTCTCTATGCATTAGAGGATGTGGCTTCTTCAGCACGTCACAGACAAAGAACCTCTGCTCTAAGTGCTACAACGATTTCTTAAAGGACGAGTCTGCCAGATACTTGGCCACTTTGAACAACAACTCGAAAACAGCAGCAGAGGCGGCCGAAGAGGTCACAGCTGCCGAGAAGGCGACTGCGGTGGAGGTGAAGAAGAAGAGTAGTAGATGCAATAGTTGCAAGAAGAAGGTGGGATTGCTAGGGTTTCAGTGTAGATGTGGCCACATGTTCTGCGGGACTCACCGTTACCCGGAGGAGCATTCTTGTCCATCTGATTATAAAGCTGTCGCCATTCACGAGTTAACCAAACAAAACCCTATCGTCAAGGGTGATAAACTCTTCAAACTTTAATCACCCTTCTACGTGATGCATCTCTTTTTTTTTTTCTCTGTGTAGATAATACTTTCCTCCTCTTTACTAAATAAATATTGTTTTAGGTTTCTTTTTATGGAAACATTTTAGTCCTAGCAACAACAATAAAAGATTACTTGATAATCACGAAACGTGAAAACGCAAACGAGGAAGTTAACCAAGTAGACACACAATTCAAAACTTAAAATGATGATTAGTATTGATTATACGTTGTGTATTGCATGCAAAGCAACCTCTTTTAGAATTTTGTTTGTTTATATACTTTTTAAAAGGGTTGATTTAGTCGAATGGTATAGATCACGACCATACTTTCATCGATCCAAGAGATATTTAACAAGAAGAACAAAAACTGCCTATAACACAAACAAAATGTACGTAGTCCATGTGTTTGGTCATTGATCGTTATCACCAGAAACTACAAAAAAACGAACAGAACCATGGAAATTATGTTTGAGTAATGGACGCATTAGTCCTACAGAGTTCTTCAGCCACAGCCTCCACATCGCACTAATCTTTCGGGTTGTGTCCGCAAAAACTTCAACGTTCTCATTAGCTTCTGGATTTTTACACATAATGAAGTTCATGGACAACGTCGACCCGATTCTTGCGCATGGATTCAGTGCTACATTACATTAATATACATATAAAGCAATAACGACGTTAATGTATTTTACCGCCTCTTCAAAAAAACAAATTGTTTGACTACGAATTTTTGGACATGCAATGAAACATTCATGTAAATAACCTTAGACCAATCAATGATCATACTGATTGGTAGTATAATTCATTCCTCTAAACAAACTTGAAACTAGAGAGAGCAAGGTTGATCAACTTCTTTTGGAAAAACCGAGCCAATCGATGCTACCATACTACCTATGTTTTTGTTTACTTTCCTAAATGTTTACGTTAATTTGTGAAAATATGGTAATCATAATTTGTAAGATCTACATGCAAAAGATAGATTCAAAGAAATCTCACGTTGATCTGGAGAGTAGGGAGTGTAAAGTAGGAATGAAGAGGTGAGATGAGAAGAGAAAAGAGGAAGTCTTCCTTGGCTAGCATAGCATCTCAGAGTTATATCTATAACATTTGTGACTGTTTCATCTTCCTTGACAACAAAACGTATGGGTCCAGTACTCCCTATCACCTTAATGCTTACAAGCAATTTATTCTCCTTCAAATTCTGCAACTTCTTCTTCATCTTCAACGTCCTCGCTTTCTCTATCTTTTTCAAACTCATTGTATCCATCTTTGATCTTCTTGTGTTAGTTTGGTGTGTAACGATTAGTACTTCAGTACGTCCCCTATTTAAACAAGTCACACGTACGTACAACCTCTTATGAATTAAGTGGTGCTTATTAGGTTAAGTGGAGGGTATTAGCAGCCACAGCCAGTGGGTTTAATGGGTTTTTAAGGGATAAACTATTTTTTTCATCGATAGTAATTGGTTACGTTTGATGATTTGGTATCTACGTTTATATATATTTTCCAGCTATCTCAAGAGAATAGAATCTTGAAATAGTAAAATTCACTTTGTTCTATGGTTTCTTACATAAAGTACGTACACACACTCTTATGTGCTTTATCGTGTGCTTTAGCCGCCTTTTATGGTCCCTCGAATGCTTTTAGAATTAGAACTGATTTAACTAAATTTGTCAAAGCATTACAGGACAATTAAGTGCTTAGTGGGTTACTAAAACGTCTGCAAGTTCTGGTACAATCTTTTCCCCCTCTAGAAATTGCACATGAGCAAATGTGTATGGTTGAATAAAGTGAGGAAGTGTTTATAGTAGGACAGCGAAGAATCTGACAAGAATATACAAAAAGAATCAATTCTTGGATATGAGAAAAGTTGAAAGAATTGTAGATTATTATATCTACATGTTTGTATTATACATATGTAGTTAAGCAGTGAAAGAGAAGGTGCTCAAAACTGATCTATCTGTAACTTTCAAGCCTTATTTATTTCTCACATCTCAAGCAAAAACTCAACAGTACCACCCACCTGAAATCATCAGTTTTTCGATCTAGGAGGACCGGTCATGGTTCCGATCAGTTTATCAACCTATTTAGGAGTAGAAGATGCTTTTGGCGTTTTTGGTCCTCCCTGCAAAGAAAAACAAAACCCGGTTCTTATTTCTACATATCTTTCCAGTTAACCATTTGTTTTGCAAGAGTGAAACTTACAGTTCCCTTTTGGCCTAGTAACCTTCGGCCTGAAGGTGCTCTCGCTAATGATGAAATGGCTACTGCTGCTACAGTCGCAACCCGAATTCTCTTATGCACGTCTATATACTCATCTGTTTCGTCCACAATCTCCTCCTGCAAAAGTTCTTCAAACACATCTTCCAGTGTGATGATACCTATCACGTCTCCATCTTCAATCTCCTCTGAAGTATGCGAAAACCCATGTCTGCCGGCCTCGCTGATGAATGATTGTCCATTAGCTTTGTCGATGCGGACAATGACATTGTCGTGGTTCCCTTCTCGCTTCAGTAACAGAGGTGCAGTTAACTCGGATTTACTACTTGAGACGTTGCTTTGGCCACTATTTTCTTCAGGCAAAGTCGAAGGATGACCTTTGCTTTTTCCCTTAACCTTCACAACTGCAGCCATGTGACTGCTCCCTTTTTGAAACTCATTCAGTATGTCATACAGAGGCATATCAGCCGGAACCCTGTTTGATCATTGATGAAAACAGGAACTTTGTTGTTCACAGAAATGCTAAAGGAAGGAGTATGGAAAAGATAGCAAGCATAATAGTAACGGAAAGACCTTGGAATTCGACGTATCCCAACTGCGCTGACAAGAGTCCCTGTTTCAGGGCGAACTGTAAGGAGACTTTTCACCTAGAAAACAGAAGAATTTCTGGATTAGAGTTAGCATAAGCTACAACTGAAACATGCAACTCATAACAACGGAAAGGAATCAACAACACCTACCAAGAGAAGTCCGATAACATTTTTAGGATTCTCAGAGTAGACAGGAACACGGCTGTGACCTCGTGCTTGAATCTTATCCATAGCTTCCCTAAGAGATTAATCACAAGCAAAAAAGTTAAGAATACGGAGTCAGATATGTATATAGAGATAGTTACAGAAATGATTGCCATGCTCCAGTTTCGGAATCAAAAATACAAATATACATTAGCCTACATGACAGAGTTCACGATACTATAACAGTTAAGAACCAAAACTCACCTATCCAACTTTGAATTCACATCCAAGGAAAAGGTTGATTCAATTGGTGTCATGGCTTCTTGCGCAGTCTTCTCCGTCAAATCAAGTGCTCCACTAATGATTGTGGTCTCATCATGTGTAAGTTCACCTCCCTTTCCAGCGGCTTCACCGTGAATGGATACAAGAGCCTTTAACTGAGCTCGCCGAAATAAAGGGTCGCTGTGTCCCAGTACCCAATCCAACATCTTTGCAATAGGAAAAGATATTGGGTACGAGAGAACCATTAAGATACGGACAAGCCATACCAAATTAGCTCCCACTGCCAAACCATACCTGGTACATATAGCTTGAGGAATAACCTGAAACAAAAACAATGTTCAATTCAGTAGGAAGCCTTGATAAAACCTAGCAAAACCTAGCAAAACCTTGGAAGCAGAAGAAAAAACACAAACCTCTCCGAAAAATAGCACGAACGTGACCGATAGAATAATAGCGACATACTCATTGAATATCTTATCTAAGTATATAGGTAGCCCCTGCAACATTTCAACAAATGAACCATCTTTATACCCTGATTCATCATCATAACGAGCGTAAAAGGTTTTGGAATCAAAGACAGAGACTTGAATTAAGATAATTACCTCCATAGCAAGAGCATTGAACAAAAGCAATGTTACTAAGAGCTGATGCTGTTTCTGAACAACCGGAAAAATCGCAGCTGAAATAAATAAAAAAACATTCGCAAGCAAATTCTCACCATCACAACAAAATTCAAACATGAGATTCCAAAAAGGATTTGATCAAATTGATTCAATCGATAAATCAATCACCTGATTGTTTCTTCTCTGTTGGAGTACCACTGCGTTGGAGGATCTCGAGCTCGACGAGACCGAGAGACATGAGACCCAAAGTGAGACCCGACATAATTCCGGCGAAGAGGACGAGGAAACAAGAGATTCCGGCGTAAGTGATCCACTCCAGCGATCCGAACGGAATGGCCTCGCTTCCTACGGAGTTAGATTGTGCGACTCCGGCCAACATCCTCGCCGCAACCACCGCGTTAATCGGATGCATCTTTGAAGGATCCTCTTCCTTCGTCTCTATCTGGTTTTTGCAATTGCCGACGCCTTCTTTTAGATATTTTCTCCTCTCATCGTCGACCTAATAAGGGTCGGGTTTTGTACAATTTTGAATTCTTAGGATAAACAGCAATATTTGTTTTTTTTTTCCCTCTAATCTTTTTATTATTGGTCCCCAATATTTTCTTTACTCCTAAATCCACCCCGTTACTTTTCATTATTAATTTTTCGCCCATTGTTAAATGGATCTAATACAAATTATTCACATATATTTTACTTATTTACTTCGGCCTCCATTGGTAACCATGATTTAGGAAAAAAATGAGAAGCAATATGACATTCCTCTTCATTCTTCAATTTTTTTACCATTTACAAGTAATCATTTTTCCACATCATTCCTCACAAAATGAGTAACAATAGAACAAAAATGTTTCTCCCCAAAATTGATGAGTAACAAATGGAACAAAAAAAAAACAAATATTAAAATTCGTTTTTATTTTAAAATAAATAAAAAATTATTTATTAATAATATTTTAATCTCATAATATAATATTTTTCATATTTTTATCATGTATTGACATTAAAAAATATTTTTGATATGAATTTCATGTTAAAAAATCTTACTATACATTATTTATTGTATGGATAGTAAAACATATTTAAGAGATGTTTATATCATAAATAACAAATAAAAAATTATTATAATCTATAATAGGTTAATATAAATTATTAATTTTTAACATTAAATATTTAAATTCATTCAAAAATATATTTTAAAATTAGTGTCAAATTCATTATATATAAATTATATCTAGTATTATTATTAAAAGTTGATTTATTTAATCAAACATATTATAAAAGATAGTGTTATTGTTTGGTTACCATTTATTATTTTGTTTTCCTCTGCATGTTTTCCTTTCATTCCTAAAAAGTTGTTTATTCCGTTCCGTATTGTTATTTTTGTTCTTTTTACTTTTGTTCCTCTAATGGTTACCAGTAGAAGCTTTCGTTTATTTCATTTTCCACTGGTATTGTTATTTTATATTTTGCAAATGTGTGATTATTTTTTTTCATCCATGATTATTTTTTTCCCCCAAAAATATTTTATATGCAAATTTTGAACTTAGATGATAAAATATGGACGATGTCAAATGAGCTAAATTGCTTAACCCATAATAGATAGAGATTATATCATGATATCTAATAAATTAGCTCAACTTGCTTATCTTTTATGATATGAATTTTTATAAATAAACCTCAAACTTAAATCATCGTAATCATAAGTTAAATTCAAATAAAATTCAGTGAGTGAGACGAATACGTAATCTAAGATCGATTAAGTTTGTGAGAGAGACGATGATCTAATGTATGTTTATATAAGAAGATTACATTAAAGTTCAAGAGGTAATCACTAAATATAAGGCTAATGCTCGATTTCAGCTTATATCAGTTTGTACAAAAATTACCAAATCCAGTCTTCTAAACATGATTCACGGTCAATGACAGTCTCCGTGAACTCATGCTAGTTGCTCTAGTCCAAAGAACACGAGTCATGACAACTTGTCCTAGTCTACGTTGCCTTGTATCTAACTCTTGAGTACAATGAGCCTCGAGAAATTCTCAATGCAACAACGAAATTCGCGAATGGCGCGCGTGTTTTCGGAATAGAGCTTTTCGATACTCCATGGAATCCGAGGAAAAATTTCTCAAACGTAAGCAACCACTAAGATCGAGGATTTCGAGAGATAACAAGGTGACATCGGTTGGAAGAACCTCCAGCAATATGCACCCTCTCATTTCCAACCTCTCTAAGAATTTTAGATTCCCAATTGTAGAAGGTAAAGTCACCAAACTTTCACATTTGTTGAGTTTCAAACTCCTCAGATTGATGGCCTTGAATAGATCTGGAACTTCTCTCAACTTTGTACATTCTGACAGATCGATCTCTATGAGACTTCCAAGGGACTGAAATTAAAACCAGAAAAAAATTGGATCATTATGAACTATATAATCAATTCAATTGTATACCTACGTGTGTTAAAAATTACTATTTATGTGTGTATGTATGTAAAATCAAACCGTGGATCACAAGCCATATTGACAATTTTGGTTATTGTGAAACAAGAATCAGTAAATGCTATAAACATTAAGAACGTTACCTGGACGCCTTCCCATAGCTTCTCAAGCTTTTTGTTGCCTATCACTACGAGACGAACGAGATATTCCGGACGAAATTCACATGGTAAGCATCTTTTAAGGCAGCCGAGATAGTCGAGTCCATGGAGATCTCTGTTCCACATTGTGTCATAAAGATTCCTGTTCCATAAACAATCATCTACACGGATCTCAACTTCATATGGCATATGGATTGAATTCTCCATTTTAATTACGGGAAAATTTGTCAAATTATGACAAAAAGTGAGATCGAGGTCGTGGAGAGATTTCAATTTGAGATGCGTAGGAAAACTCTTTAGCTCGATGCAACCACGCATATTTAACTTCCTCAGTTTAATGGTGACCTGAATCGAGCGAGGAAGCTTCACCAAAGATATGCATCCATGAAGATCTAATTCTTCGAGGTTTATTGCCTTAGAAAGATTTGGAACTTCTTTCAAATATTTGGACCGACTTAAATCCATCTTCTTGAGGCTTCCTAGTGGCTGAAATCAAAATATGGAAAAAGAGAAAACACACACGTTCATAAACATTTTTGAAAAAGATTTAAAACATGCATGCATGTTACTAAATATAGTAATATACCTACAACTAATTAACACAATGCATGATTGTTACCTGAGTTCCATCCCATAGCCTCGTAAGCTTACTGTTCTCCATGCTGAGTTCAACGAGATGGTCAGTATTAAAACTACGAGGCAAATACTTCAATGGAAAACTATTCCACTCTAGCCATTTAAGTTTACGTGGCCAGTAGTCGAGGCCGTAAGGTAGATGCACTATACAGGTTTCAGTCGATGACCACAAGGAATAGTTATGGATTTTTAGAAATTGGAGATTAGCCATGCCTTTGAAGGAGTCTCCATCAATTGAAATAAATTCATTACTAAGTTCTGATGCTTTGAAGAATATTCCGACCACAGTTTCTGTTCCCTGCAAAAAACAAATATCGCAAGAGAACAACTATTAGTCTAGTCATATAGCAACAAATTATTCTTACTAATCTAATGTACAGTATAATAATAAAAATGTAAAACATATTTTTTTTTCTTTTAATATGTGTGTCAAAACTTTAAACGATTATAATTTATACCGGAAGTAAATTATAAGGTGATGCATTAAAATATAGTTGCGAAAAAAACTTACAGTTTTATGAGTAAATACTTCTAGAATTTCCTCAGCATTCTTCAGAAATCGAGATTTTCCAGGATTACCTTTAGACTCTGCGCGATCAATTTTAATACCCAACTTCTCTACAAAATTGTGCATCTCTATATATCCTTGTGGTGTAATACGTACGAGGGACTTATCAATCAACGGTTTAAGCCCAACATTATTGCAAAGGAAATCTTCGATGTAACGGACTCTACAACCATTGAAAAAACATGCAACGTACAGAAATAACTCTCGATCTTTTTCACTTAACCTGTCAAACCTGATTCTTAATGGTTTCTCAATTTTTTCATCCAAATCATTTTGGAGTTGAGGCATGATTTTCATCCACTCTTTTTCCCCCCTTTTCCTTAAAGACGAACCCAAGATACTGAGACCCAAAGGAAGATTATAGGCAAGCTTCGCAACTTGAACAACTAGTTCCTTAAAATCATTAGGTGGAGAGTTCTTCCCAAAAGCAGTCTGACATAACATCTTAAGAGCAATATCTTGAGATGGGAACTTCACCTCGTATAAATGGTCAACATCATGAGCCTTATCAAGAATTCGCTTATCTTCAGAGATCACAATAATTCTGCTTCCAGGTCCAAACCATTTAGTTTTCCCCACCAAGGTCTTAAGAAACTTTGGATCATCCACATCATCAAGAACCGCAAGAACTTTCTTCTTGTTAAGCATTTGCTCCACTACACCTAACTTCCCTCCTATCTTTGTATACTTACCTAGAATCTCTGACAGAAATTTGTCCTCCCATTCAGACTCGTTGCTATAGACATGAGGTATGAAAGCGTGAAAGTGGAATTGGTTAATGAGTCGATTGTATAGAGCTTTTCCAATGGTACTCTTACCAATCCCGGAAGGCCCCCAAATCCCAATCATTCTAGCTTCCTTGGATTTTAAGGACAATAATGGTTCCATTTCCTTTAAACGAGCTTCGATGCCGACGAATTCATCAAAACAATTCGTGGATGAGGTAAGTTTATTCGAAACATCATTAGCTATCTTTTCAACCATGGCTGCTTCACTAGACCTAATTAATAACAATATTGAGTACTTGTGTCAACCAAAAAGAGGCACCCAGACATGCACAATCGAAGTCTATGCAGAGAAAAATAATATGGGTTAATTGAGTACTTTTCATGACCATAATATCCCTTTTTGCTTTGTTAGGAAAAAAAATCAGCGATTTTGAAAATAATATTGAAAGTCTGCCAGAGTAGTTGTGACAGATTTGTTTGTTTACGACAGATTTATGTTTACATGACAGATTTTCTTCGGTAGATTTATTTTGAATGACAGATTTATTTAAGGATAGTTACGAGTTACGACAGATTTATAATTAGTGACCTATTATAATTAGTGAAAAATTTAATTTATACGACAGACTTATTTATGAAGACACCACAAATTTTTGTAATATATGACAGACTTGTTATAATGTCTGGCATATTTATTTTTCACAGTTGCTTCAGATTTATTGGTCGAAAAGATTGAGAAAAATCAGTCATTCACAACCACTGATGAAGGATTCCTCGAAAAGTTTCGTTTAAAATTCGTCGTATTGTGACAGATTTGCTTACGGAAAATAATTACTAATTTGACGTCTAGTGATAACAGATTTATTTAAAGTTACGACATATTTTTAAATTTAACTAAAAATCTTTCGTTTGATAACAGATTTGTTAAAAAATATTAAAATTACTAGAATGACCTACGTTGAGATAATTTTTGTTTTT